CGGAACTCGTGGTTTATGAATCCGCCTTGATTTTTCGCTTTGGGATCTAGATTTTTGCAAAAAATTGTAAATTTGGTCACATTTTTTTATTGATTAAATCAAGAACGATTCATCTCCTTAACGCGCCTATATTTAATAATAATTATTATTTTATTAAATAAAAATTTTAGTCGTCTCCTTCTGTTCTGCAACTTCTTACGTGCTTAATCGTTGCATTCTTTCGATGCCTAAACATCTCCCTCCGTGGAGGAAGGGCTGTACAAGTGTTATTTACGTCACTGCATAGCTGCTTCTGTACCTTTACCTTAACATTACACACATATCTTTATTTTAATTTACAGGGGTTGTCATAAAAAATATTGGTAATTTTAGATTTGCAAGAAAATATAAATAATTTTGCTTAACGCCTTTTGCTGTTAAATATTATAAAATATATAATTGTTTCTTTGGCGTTTTATAAAGTTCTCTTTATCTGACGAAAAAAAACAAGTAATGTATTGTTATTAATCATGTAATATTACTACTGTGCTAGTATTCGTTATCTCATCTCAGTAAACATCAAATGCGAAGTATATATCTAATTATAATGTATAATTTTACGATTGGAAATACACTCTTTTTAAAAAGGAATTAATCTTGCAAGGTTATTTTTTTTATATATTTGCATTTTAGGTTTTGTTCTTATTACAGTCTTTAGATGTCAAGCGAATAACGTTATTTTTATTTATTCTATTACAAAAAATGGTAGCCATGAAATTTTATTATACCGAATTTGTTATCATCAGATAGTCCAGTTATATTATGTAAGTTGTAACAAAATACACTAAAGCAACTGGTTTCAAGAGGGTTTTTATTAGCTACTTATTTAAATTTAAATGTAGTTAATATTTTTAATTATTTCAAATACGTCGCACAAGGGGAAGAGTTAAAAAAGAACAAAACTTAACAATAAAATTTTCTTCTTAAAATTTATGCAGTAAAATAAATCCTGAAATTTATAGTATGAAGTGCCTTTATTTGTGGTTTAATAAATTGTCCATCCATGTGAATTATTACAAAAAAATTGCAAATTTTACAATTTATATAACAATCTACATAACGATTTATTTTTTATTTTGACAAGATGTAGCTGTACATCGATGTAAATTGTTACAGAACGACGATTCAAATTTATATACTTATCCCTTGATTAAATATATATTTTTCAAAAATGAATATCTGTTGTGTTAATGTGGTGTTTTGTTTTTACAGATAGGATTGGTCAAAGTTTATTTCAACAGAACTTTCCTCGCGTCTGCAGTACAAGTCCAACAAATCCCGCCTCTTTGAAAAATCATAAAATTTGATTTTCCGATTTTTGTTATGTGATAACTTCTATAAAGTAAAAATCAACGGCATAAATAATACCCCCCCCCCAAGCCTGCAAATGCAAAATATATATTTAAAGCAGATAACCAACGGGAAAATATCCTCTCAGCAATAATAATATGTTTAACTTCGAGTGCTTATGTTTATATATATGGAAAGCATGTCACGTAGAAATTTGTTTGATTTTAATGAACAAAATGTAGTGAACATTATTGTTATAATTCTTATTTTATTATTATTATATAAAGACTAGGGACGGTTATATCTTGAATCAGTGGTAAAATTTGGACGTTTAGGGGAAAAACTCAAAGCGGATTTCTACACAAGTTTAGGAATATATGATTGTGTAACATTTAAATCATTTTAAAATAGAATTCTTTGAAATGACAGCATCAAATTGTTGGTAGGGTTTTTGCTGGCGTTTCACCATGTACATGACATTCCTAAAAACGTACAAAACAATTGGTCGAGTAGTTTCTGAGACAGACGGACACACACAGAGAGAGAGAGAGAGAGAGACGACAGACAGACGGAAACGGGAGACTATTTTTCCATACTTTAGAGGTCATGAAACTGAAAGTCTCTCGATGAACTATATTACTTATACTCACTTAATTTACGTTCGGAAAGTAAAAATAATTTCAAAATTATTAGTTACAGTTTACATGAAAGTGGAGAACAACCAGAGAAATTTCTAAAGATAGGATAAAACGCACAACTAAAAAATTTATGTGATGAAGCCTAGTGGCCACAATTCAAGAAATTATTTCAGTACCTACTCTCTAGGCTAGAATAATTTAAATATAACAACAATGTCTGTCAGAAAACTTTTACTCTCAATTTTTAAATATGGAACATATAAAGTATAAATAAAACAATTTTGCCACCGAATCCGACAACAAGTCGATTTTACCTATTTATTTTAAGAATGATTAGGTATGCACATTTATTATACATATTAGTTTGAAGTGAAAAATCTCTAGAATTTTAAGTTATTATTTCATGTTGCTCCTTTCTTTTTAAACCATGCCATGCGAAGTCAGCTATAACAAAAAAAAGTTTACCAAACTTCTTTCCAAAATTCTACATTTATTTACTCCTATTTTTTACGTTTTTGTCATACGAATAATTTTACTCAAGTTTCCAAATATTTTGGTTATAGAATTTTTATTATTGTAAAGTGGCTACTGCTCATTAGTTATATCTAACATTTATTATGGACTACATTCCTTCATAATTAATAATAAACAAAATATGGCATAATATTAGCAAACACAAATACACTGATTTTTTATAAAGGTCTTTAGAATAAAAATTAAGTTGAATCAGCAACAACAGTTACTTAATTATCGACTTTTTATTTCTAGAATTTTGATGGTGGAAAAGTACTGACCATTAAAAAAAGTCCGAACAAATTCATCAATTTTATTATAAATTAATATCGTTCAATATAGAATGATCAACTTTTCCCTATACAGGATCGTCGCTTATTCTTCAAACTACGGTACGGACGGAGTTTTTCGTGTAGTGTGCTTTGACGTAGGCAACCAAAAATACAAAACTTTCATTATTTCAGTAACCATCTACAAGAAATACAGGTTTCTAGGTTTGTGTGTGTGTGTTTTTTTTTTTTTTGAAATATTGGACTCCCACAGGTTCTAACGTTATATTGCGCTTTAATTTTATAAATGAGCGGATTATTATTTATGAGCTCCCAGTAAGAAAATGTGTTTATACTCTAACATAAAAATTACCCACACTAGGTCGACAGTTTCTTAAATCCAGGGCCGTCTTTTCCAAGTTTTAACACTTCGCATTACAAACGTGAAATGGGAGTGGTGATAAAACTGAATTAATAATTTAAAAATTATTTAATTGTGGCAACAACTTAATTAGTATGAACTATGAACGATAACAATAAAACATACACTTCTCTTCTCACAGCGTGATTTAAGTATTTGAGTAGCGACAAAATTTAAATAAATATTAAGTGAACTTTACCAAATAATGTTAATTTCTGCTACTATATATATAGTAGCAGAATAAATAGAGTAATCTATAAAATTAAGAAAATGTAACGTATCTAAGCCAAATATTGCCACCTTAAGGTTTAAAATTTGTTCACAAATTAAATTTTAGAATCTGAAAGCAAAATTTCATCAGTAGATTAGTGTTCCTTCTTTAAATAAAAATGAAATTGAAAAAAATGTCAACAATAATGGTTTTTGGACATTTATAAATTTGTGTAGATGACAATATTTGGAACATAGCGCTCCAAAAATTGCAGTATGCTAATTTGATATATAAATAAAATTGACAGTCTTTTTTCAACACCGACCCATTTTCTCTCATTTTAATCCCCACGCACTACAATGTAATGACTGTTTTTAATCCCAAGGGTGTTAAGAAATATATAACTGCCGCTTCATAAAAAGACAGGTAGCAGCTCATAAACAACAACTCCGCTTCATCAATACAAAAAAAAATCTTCTTGTATTGTTTTGGTCAATGATTTCTCCACGTAGGCTTCCGCAACAGTAGACGACTTCCATCCACCGTGATTCTTTAAACTTAGTAGATCTCCATCGCCGTCAACTAAAAATGACGCCGAGGAGCGGCGAAAGCAATGCCCTGTGTAGAGAGCAGAATCCGGTAACTGTAAGAATGAAGCTATCAGTTTTATCAGCTTAGGTACACACCTGCCTATATCATTTTTCCCTTCAATGTAATAACGGCCTTTAACATTGAATAATAGCTCTACAAACATTATTTGCTTTTTCGGACAAATAGGCGAGGATTATATTGACGCCTCTGGCCTTTTTCTGACTTCTCCAGATGCAAAACTTCGTGTACTCTTTGTCATACAAGTTTCTTGAATTTTCTGGAAGCAAGTTGTTGGTCATCGCTTCAGCTGCTTCAGCAATATCGTTTGGAACAAACGTCTGAACTTCCAAGTCCATTTCAGCACACCCAAAAATCTCGATTGACAAATTTTTTGCAAATAAACAACGTTGCTACCAAAATAAGCGAATCTGTCTCTAAGGTTCAGTTCCGTCAGGTGCTCCTCAGTTGCTTTCAATTTATGTCAAATTCTTTTCGAAATTAAGGATAGGACCGCATGTCGTCGGTGTTGAAAAAAATTGTATATGCACGGCATGATAATAATACTATTTTATTTAAATTTTTTTCGTTAACATTGTTGTTTTAGAATCAGGTCTATTTTTTTATTTTTAAAAATATTGTAAATATAAATAATTTAATTTTACAAATGTGCAGTTTAACGGAATTAATTTCAAAAACACTGTGTATATTATTGATATACCACCATATTCTTCTCTTTATAATAATGTTATATTGGTTGCCTAAATGTCGAACATTTTAGAAAGATGACATTTATGAAGAGGTAGCAGCAGGTAGCTGATAGTCAATAATAATAATACGTATTTTCAAGAATAAGAAAAAAATTAAATCTTTTTTATTCTTGAAAAGTGTTAACTTTGTGGTGACCGAATTTAAATCAAAGTTTTCGCGCTGAAATTAATGAACAGCGGATAATAATTTGAATAATTTGAATTTGAAAAAAAAAATTCTTCACGAAAAGGAAATTGTTAAACATAGGCAACCAAATATGCATGTCGGGTTTAATTCACGTAGCGCTAGGGAGATTTCAGTTACAGAGTGAAAGGTTGGTAGAGAAGCTGCATGGTGTACCGTCATTCTGAATGTGCTTGTGTGACTGTAACCACGTGGTAAGCGCTGGGTTTAAATTAGTTAGTTTGGTAGTTAATAAAACGGGAGGAAGCCTTTGTTTAACGACAATCAATCGTAACTTTCATAATGATACAGTTGTCCCCAACCCGCGCGGTTAATTCTTACGGCCTTTTAATAGGAGAAATGCGGACTTCCGGTCGACACGAGACACATGCTGTAAATTTGTTTCATTGTTTGTAAATTCACCAATCAAGTTAGTTTTTCTTAATAGTCAGCTAGTGCAAACACAATTTAACAATCAGGATTATTTAAATAAACCACTTGCTAGAAGATTTCATGAAATTCACTTAGTCAGGAAAACACCTTATTGTTTAATTACGAATAAGCTTCTGGATGCATATACGTATAACACTTCTTAATTCTTCACACAAGATTGCTAATAGTTCATTACGGCAGTTAAACAAGTTCATTATACTGCGAACTGGCAGGGGTTATGATATTTTCTTCCCTTAGGTGGTTATCATCGTTATCATGATTAATTCATCTGGGCATGCCTCACAACGCCACAGGTTGATTAATTCATCGAGGCATGCCATCACAACGCTACAGATTGATTGATTAATTAATCGAGGCATGCCCTCACAACGCTACAGATTCATAGAGGTCCGTCCTCGCGACGCTAGAGATTAATAATATCACCGAGACGTTTTTTCCTCGCAACGATTTTAAAGTTTACATCACCGAGACGCTTTTTCCCTCGGAGCGATGGTTGGAAATTTTTGTGTTTATTTATTATGCGTTTTGTTGGGGTAACCAGTTCGCGGTATTTTAAACTCTCAAAGTAATTTGTTCTTCTATTTGAAGTAACCAATCACTTAGATCATAATATAATTTGACATAACGTAAACTCTTTGTTTGAACCGTTGATAACGTGTGGCAAATATTAATCTCATGTAAATTTTATTAACTCTGCAATTTTCCACCTCATACAATATTTCTCAATCTCACAGTTTTAACTTCAGTAATTTTAGTTGTTGTATAATTTTAATTGGACGTAAATTTCATGTTCTACAGTTTTAAACTCACAGAATATTTCTATTTGTACAAGTTCATTTCACACCAGATCTTTTGTTTCATAAATCCTTGCTAAGTTTTGTTTTGCAAATACTTTGTTGCTGAATGTTTCTATCATATCTCAGCAGCTGAGGCTAGGAAAATACATACCAAACATTCTGGTTTAAACTATACTTGTAAAAATTGCGTTCAACTGGGAAACAATATAACTGATTTGAAAAAAGTCATTGTCGAGTTGCAAAATGATATTAAAACCTTGAAGTCGACTGTCCTTGATCAACAATCTCATAATTCTCCTGCTTCCTTACTCGAGGCCGAAAAAATTGTCCAAGAAGTAGCTGAAAGGGAGAAACGCAAATGTAATATTATTATATATGGTTGCAAGGAGGATAATGTTAAATCAAATAAAGAACAGATTCAATTAGATGAGACTGTAGTACCAAAAATTCTCTCCACATTAAATGTTAATGAAGAACAAATAAGCTTCTTTAGACTAGGAAGATTTGATGGTTCAAAAGAAAATCGATGTCGGCCTATTAAAGTAATATTACCTACTATTAATAATGTGAACACTGCATTAAAGAATGCTGCTTCTCTTAAAACTTCTAATGATTTTGCTGGTATTTCCGTATCTTCTGATCGCACCCCTATGCAAATTCAGATTTATAAAAACACGAAATTTGAGATGAACAATCGCGTAACAAATGGTGAAAATAACCTACGAATCAAATATAGAAATGGTATTCCTACGATTATTACTCTGCCCACTTTAAACTGAAAAAGCCCAACAGTATCTTAAATAATCTTACTTTATATTACCAAAATGCTAGGGGATTACGGTCTAAAACTCATACTTTCTATGTTAATGCTTGTGAACTTGCTTTTGATATAATAGTTGTAACTGAGTCATGGTTGAATGATTCTGTTAAAAATGCTGAATTATTTCCGTCTAATTATAATGTAGTAAGATGCGACAGAAAATTTGACACTGTGGCTCGTACTATGGGTGGTGGTGTGGTTGCTGGTTTAATTAATAAAATAACCTATCAAATAATTGACACTGCAGCTATTGGAAATTTAGTTCCACTAATTGATTTTATTATTTGTAAATGTCAGTGCAACTCACATATTTTGTTCTTAGTAGCATGTTACATTCCACCTCAGGTCTCTCTTGCGGACTATGAATTATTTTTTGAGGCTGTTGAGGTTCTTCTGGTAGGCCAATCTATTTTGTTGGTTGGTGATTTTAACTTACCCCATTTTAATAATTTGCATACAAATTGTCCTAAAGTAAGATCACTCCGAAGTTTTTGTGACTCACTTCAACTACATCAATATAATAGCATTTGTAATTTGAACAATGAACGACTAGATTTAGTCTTTTCGAATCTTCAGAAAATTGTTGTAAGCCGAGAACTACACCCCTTTGTTAAAGAAGATTCTTATCACCCGGCCTTGTCACTATACGTTGAATATCCGTCTAAGTCAAATGCATCGTTCTTTCCCTCTGCAAAAACTACAAGGTATAACTTCCGTAAAGCCAATTTCTTATATTTATATGATGACCTCCTTAGTATTGACTGGACTTTTCTGGAAAAATGTCTTGACGTCGATGATGCGCTTGACACATTCTATGATCATCTATATAACATTTTGAATTGTTCCGTGCCTCAGTATGCCGCCTGTAGTCACAAAGCTTCTTATCCACCATGGTTTACACCAAGTATTATCTCTAACCTAAAAGCTAAAGACTACTATAGAAAAAAGTGGTTATCATCAAATGTAGACTCATTCTTCGAAGAATATAAAAGACTTCGGGCACTTTGTAAAAGACAAATATCGCTTTCTTATCGAGATTATATAATGAAGGTTGAAAACTCAGTTCGTAATAACCCCCGTGAAATTTTTAAATATCTTCAGTTAAAGCAAGGTACTACAAGAATACCCGGTAAAATGTATCAAGATGACGTATCGTTTGAAACTCCTGAAGAAATAGTGAATGGCTTTGCACAAGTTTTCTCAAGTATATATCACCCTGCCTCAAATGTGACTCCCAATGACAATTGCAATCTTCCATCTTTTAAACTTATGTGTGTGTCTGACCAGGAAGTCGTGAAAATTATGGCATCTTTTCCTATTAAACATACTGCGGGAGATGATCAAATTCCCAGTTTTTTGATCCACGACGCAAGATATGCTTTAGCGACACCATTGACAATAATCATCAATAAAGCTATCTCCAGTTCTTCTTTTCCGACTCGTTGGAAACGTGCGAGAATTGTACCGGTGCACAAGAAAAATGATTACACCCAGTTGAAAAACTATCGACCGATTGCAATTCTGTCTAATTTTGCCAAGGTTTTTGAGCAAGTAATTTACAAATCCATATTCAATCACATTCAGCCCTATATATCCCCAAATCAACACGGCTTCCTACCTGGTAGGTCCACAATAACAAATTTAATAACTATTACTCAGTTTATATGTGAGCAATTAGATAATGCTGGTCAAGTGGATGTTGTCTACACTGATTTTTCTAGTGCTTTCGATATGGTTGATCATGGCTTGCTACTAAACAAACTTAGTTCTTTTGGTCTTGCACCATCATTTATTGCTCTTATTAAGTCATACCTCTCAAATCGAATAAACTATGTTTTTTATAACGGGTTTACATCGTATGAATATGTCTCGACATCAGGTGTACCGCAGGGTTCCAATTTGGGACCACTGTTTTTCATAGTTTTTATTAACGATTTGCTCAGATCTCTTACATGTCCTGTACTTGCATATGCAGACGATTTAAAAATTTATTCCTCTGTATTCAATGATATGGATGTAAATCTTCTACAGGATAACATAAATATTATTGCTCAATATTCACTGTCTAATTTCTTAACTTTGAATGTGGATAAGTGCTATTTTCTTACGTTTACTCGCAAAATAAAGTCAGTTTCTTCATCATATAATATTAATGGTCATGTACTTCTCAAAGCAGATTCAGCAAAAGATCTCGGAGTACTTTTTGACTCAAATCTTACTTTTATTAACCATATTGAATCTACAGTATCATCAGCATCAAAATCCCTTGGATTTATAATGCGTACATCGAAATTCTTTAACGATTTCTCTCTCCTTAAGACGTTGTATTTTTCGTTTGTTCTAAGCAAGTTAGAATATGCATGTGTGGTCTGGGCCCCATATTACGTGTGTCATCAGTTAACCATCGAAAAAATTCAACGAAGATTTCTAAAATATTTATCTTTCAAGATCGATGGAGTATACCCACCTAGACATGTTGATTATGACAATTTACTGCGACGGCATAATTTTCAATCGCTTTTTAGTCGTCGAAAAGAATATGGTGCTCATTTTATTTGGAAGCTTATTCACAATCGCTTAGACTGTAGCAACATATTATCGCTTATAAAATTTCATGTGCCACGCTTGAACTCTCGATATGCATCAACTTTTGATTTTTCTACACCAAAAACAAATATACTTAGGAGAGCACCGCTGACAACTATGTGCCATGATGCTGATGTATTTTATTATGATATTTTTAATGATAAAATGTAATTTCTTTTCTATTAGTTTCTTTAATTGGTTAGTACTTATTATTTTATTGGTTTTTATATTAGGGTTTAACATTTGGTTATTGTAGTTATCATAATATTTTAAGTTAATTATAGATTTGTGCGTAACATTTAATTTAGATTTTGTCCTGTAATAGGGTAACAACCTGTTGGGCAATAAAGGATATTATTATTATTATTATTATTATATAAATTATTTGATGTCCAACTTTAATCTCACATAAGAATTATTTGTTGTTTAAAATTTCACAAGGTTTTATGGCGAATCTAAATGTTGTTTATTGCTCTTTGAAACTTTAACACTTGTTCAGGTCTTGTTAATATCAGAGTTATAAGAGATTGAATATTTAAAAATGGAATTGAGGTTAAATGACACAGAAAACGTGGCAGAAGCGAAGTTCGGTTCCTAGTCGAGCTGGCGAGATTCATCGTGTCACCTGTGCAAGTCCACAGGTTTGGATAGATTCAGGGGCGGCCGCCGATGTTGTAAAGTTCTCGGCTTCTGCCCATAGCCGAGATCCTCTTGCGGGTCTGACGACCGTAATGGCCTAGTTCCGCAGGGCACGTTCGTAATGGAGATATGCGTGTGGGGTAGGCTTTGCGATAGATAGAATCACCGTCGTGGGGGGAGAACAGCTCCAGACCGGTAGCCCCAAACTGCGCTTGTGTTACAACACCCCAGGAGTACTTTTGTTGTGCTTCTGTTAACTGCCGTAACCTTAAAAAACTGCCGCCACACGCCCGTAATAACTTGTGTATTTGCATCCAGTTACTTAAGTCGGATTTTGCTTTGTTTTATTAAATTTGTGATATACAAATATTTGCGTTGATTCCAAACAGATGTATAGAATTTTGCGTTTGTTCGTTTTTCATATGTGTATGTCTGTCAATTCGCGAGTGTCCCTTTTTTTCATATATCTTAAGATGTTTGAAATGTAATATGTCCGGGAATAAAACAAAAGGGGGTTTTTGCGCTGAGGACTAAATCTTCGCAGCGTCTTTTCTCCTGTGGGGGGGTGCCGTGCTCCCCTCTCCAAAACAATTTTGTCTATAATTTCTTGCGCTCTAAACTCACACGCAGTGTATGCAATTGTATGAAAGAACGTCTTCCCGTCATTTTTCAAAAAAAAAACACACAACGTAGGTTCCTATTTGTTAGACGATCACAGCCAAGGCCAAATTTTGAATTTTTGAATTTTTCGCGGGCCTTTCAAACTTTTTCAAGGTCAATTTAAAGGCGCGAAGTTTGGGTTATTACAATATTGTAAATATAAATAATTTAATTTTACAAATGTGCAGTTTAAAGGAATTAATTTCAAAAACACTGTACATTATTAATACCCCACCACATTCTTCTCTTTATAATAGTGTTATATTGGTTGCCTAAATGTCGAACATTTTATGAAGATGACATTTATGAAGAGGTAGCCAATAATAATAATACATATTTTCACGAATAAGAAAAGATGAAATCTTTTTTACTCTTGAAATGTGTTATTAACTGATTATGAAAAATGCTTCCAAAAAGTTGAATTTGCTGGAATATGTTGTAAATAATTTCGAATGTTTTGTTCTTTAGTATATAGGCCACCAACAATACAGTTATTAACTTTAGTAGAAAAATATATTGTATATTTTATAAATGTAAAAATTAGTATATTACATTTTACGTATTTATTATTAAACAAGTGCATTAATAGAACGTAAAAACAGGTTAGTAATTTTGCAATTCCTACAGAGCACTGCTTAATTGCGCGACTCAAACTACATGATAAGCTTTACACTAACAGATGGCGCAAGCTTATATCCAGCGGTTGTAAAATACACCGTGATCAATAAATGCCGTTTGAGTTGGTAATAGAATTAATTTAATTCTAAGAAATTTTTCTTGCACTGCTGTTGTCGCACCTGGTTTAAATGCGCTGCCACTTTCATGCTCTCAAGAAATATAGAAAAAACTTAAAATAATAATAATAATAATAAATGCGATGTACAGTTTTTTTTTCCTAATTTTAATTATAAATGACAATAATTAATAAAAAAAAAAACAACGATAACCGACATCCAGTATTTCAAATAAAACTCATATTTGACTGCACCGTAAAATTTAAATTCGTTAGTAATTTATTAATACAGTCATTGTTATTCTGACTATATACGTTATACTTAAGTATACTTATCAAGTTGTACTTGCTAGGTCTGATTTCTACAGTATATAATTTCAGTTTATCGATAACGTTCAGGAATTTTATAAGATCTAGTTTAATAAATGGATCATTTTTTACATTCCATTTACTTGCAGGAGTGTCGGATGTGAACGCTCTGCTCTACAAATACCAGTCATAGAAATGTCATATTAGTAATAGTAGGTGCCTACATGTCTTTATTTGTTACCTAGTTATTAGTTCCTCATGTATTTAAATGACGAACCAAATACTTATACTTTTTTTGTACTGATAAACCTATTGCTTTATGAAACTGTATGGAAATCGGATTTACCGGTTTTGAGCACACTGATCAAATAAATCGGCCCATATTTTTTTTTTTATCAAATTTTGTTAACAGGTAAAAATAATACGATATTGTCGTGTGGTATTACTACGTACTTTTCATTACTCAATTAAAGCTTTTTTTTTTAATTTTCCGCAAAATAATGATTAGGACAGAGAACATGTTTCATTATTATTTTATTACTGCATAGAGTAACCCCATCTTTTCGGAACAACTCCGATGAGCTAAAAATAGAGTGGACTCTACGAGATGTGAGGATTTTCAGGATTTATTCGACACATAATCTCAAAAATTTATTAAAAATAGAGTAGTCTTCTGGAAATAAATAGCACATCGACACATTTATTTCTGTTCAATGTCAAATCTAACTAATATGTCTCACTATCGTGTCATTCAAATTATCCCCAACTTTTTCAATAGAGTGCTATATAGAAATAGTATCGATTGATTACTCAAACATACCGATAGTCATTGAGACAAATTAAAAATAATACGGGTTCGAGCACCGATCCTTGTGTACCTCCGTTGTTTATAGGACAAGTATACCTACGGAATGACTTAATTTACTTAATTTTAGACCGCTTATCACATCTCTAAATTCTGGTCAGAAAATTTATTACGTGCATCATTAATAAGGTTTCAACGTTTTTAGACTTAATTTGTTGACGATAAAATTGGTTTCCTAGATTTATTCAATTTCGATATTTTGTCCATTTTATACAAACAATTTAACGTATTGCTCATAATCTATAAGTTATTATTTTAGACTTAATATAACCTGCAACCCTTGTTATTCTTATTTACGCGTATAATTTTATCTGCAAGAGGTTGTAACTAAAACCAAAAGACTATGTTCAAGCGACTAATAATTTCTTACTCTCGAAGGTAAGCTAAGGAACTATTGTAAAAGGATCCATTCCACGAATTAATAGTTTCATGTTTTTTCGACGTAACATGACCCCCAGAGAATGGACCAATAGTTACCAAATTTTAAATGTGTTTTAGGAATATTGTGCACACGGTAAATCGTTAACCGAAATTTGACTACTTATCTCCACCAATGATGTGATGGCATCACCTCAAAATTTTTCGTAGTAAATATTACTAAAACTGGATAAAATAACATTTTCTATAGATGTGAATTATGAAACCGTTTTGATTTTTTACCCTAAACATCCAGATTTTTGGAAAGAAACATTTTACGATTTAACTTTAAAATGCAAAACCGAATGCTCTGAAATCTTAGAGATGTTTTGAGATCTTGGAAGCACAAAAAATTGACGACGTCATTTTAAAATTTTGCGGAATCAATCCCATGTAAAATGAGTCTACATTTGTGGTTTATTAATGTATTAATATTTTTTATCATTATTAGAACAACTCACTTGAAACATACACATAGCCTGCTTATACCTTTATTTTAATCCTATACTCCTATACACGTCTTTATTTTAACTTATAGAGATTATTATAAAAAAGTAAAATTCCCAAAAACAGATTTTATAATTTTTCGATAAAGCTGGGTAGGTTGTAATGTACTTGAGATGTCAGTAAATAACCTTAGACCAATTTTTACTCAGCTAGTTTGGTGATATAAACGAACAGGAATAATTTCAAACAACCAGGAAGTTCAGACTTTTAAAATGTGAACGTGATAAAAATCAAAACGCCAAGGAATCAAAATTAAACTTGATTCAGAATGTCAAAAATCAGAGAGTTAAAAAAACGCGAAATGTTGAAAGTAATAATATTGAATAATTTTTCATTTCTGGCACATATATTGTCTTAATGTCTTCATTTATGTCAGATTTTTTTAGCGTTTTAAATTTTATTTTTAACACTTCGCTCATACTGAGCTGTGAATACATTTCAATTTTTTAAAGTGCAAAAATATGCACCCACAGTGTACAATAACAGTCAACACGCCTAAAAAATCAGAACAGAAATGGTTTGATTTATTAGACTTTTAGCACCATGTTTACACAAGTTAAGAACTGTCTGTGAAAAACAAATTGAACAAATGATGTGCAACGCAGGAGTTTTTATTTCTGTGTACTTCCGCTGACGTAAAAAAAAATCCTTTACAAAATTATTTTGGTGCATTACATTTCACTTCTAGCGCAAGTTGTATGAAAAAAATCTGTAAAACACGCAGAACCAATTTCATTTTATTCTCTCGAGGTATGCTGTTTAGAAAGTAAAAATAACAGCCATTATTCATATTGGATAACGATCTTATATTTTTTATTTGTTTTCAAATGAGTTATGTTTTTTCGAAACTCATTACGAAAATCGTAAGCTCAATGACCACGGAACTGTTTGTTCCTGTACTGAACAAATTTAATTTTCCGAAAATAATTTACAGCTTGCATTACTAGACATATCTTCATTATCTTTATTTCTCAACCGGCGCATAAATCTCGACGCTTGTAAAAATTCATAATCTTGAATTTCAAAGCAAAAACAACTATCAAGTATCACTGACCTTTATGATTCCCGACAGTCCGGCAGTTTGGCAACACCTTAAAATTTTTAAATTAAATTTTTTCCCAACATTATTTTCATATATTATGTTAATATCCTTTTAACAATCCTAATTGTTAATTAAAATATAGCCTCGAACATAGTCGAGAAGATATTATTGTCAGTCACCGGCAAGTGAGGGCAACCAACGCATGTACCGCAGTGTTTTAACGATTTTAAAGCGCGGTGTTCTGTTAAATTATACGGAAAAGTGTCATTAAACTTTTTCGCGGAGTGTGTAAATAGAAAACGCAAGTGAAAAAACTGATGCTGCAGCGGATCTCAAAGGCTCGGTAAATACGTCTTATCCTGAAAAAAAAAACTTCGACGATTGCATGGCATTGACGTTCGGTTTCGTTATTTGCACCTCGCCTTTTTTTAATTTGACTAAAATGGAATTGTATTTTATGGATATGTTGTAGTCAAGGTTGTTTACGTTCAATGGGTAGAGGAATCGGTTATTGTGCTAATTTTGGGTCAATATCTGTTCGAAAATGTTCGGTAAAGTTGAATGAAAAATGCGATTAGCAGGAATTACGAAAGTTTTCCCATGAGATTTTTAGGCGAGCCAGTGCTGTTTAAATGGGTTTTTCTGCATTAATTCCATAGTACTAACTAATCTAGGTTATTTAAAGCTGACATTGTGTTTTGAAAAATTGCCAGTGGGGGATTTTCGAGAGAAAACAATATTTTAAAAATTAATTATAGTATTTTCTAATCAAAAATCATTTAAGTCCGTGCGTCAAAATAAAATGATTATTATTATAATCAGTCATTACATTTTTGAAAATGTAAAGTTTAAAAATGATACATTAACATCCGAGAATACCAGGTTTGCAAGTTTTTAATATTTTGCGTAAGGTAAGTTTTCCAATCTATAATTTATGAAATGTTTCTTGTGCATGATCATGAGGAACTGCTGTAGTCATTATTGTTTATTAACTATAAATTGCCATATTATAATGCAAAACTATGGGAATTCTGTATTTTTGCCTGAAACGGTAATGCAGTCTGTAAATATAGTATTGTACAAAAAAAATGGATAGATTTCTTGTTACGGAATAAATCTGTACATTGCCCCGCAAAATTAACGCAATAGTTTAAAATTTTATTTTGCACAAGTGGAAATCGGACGTATGAACTGGCCTGCACGAAGTCCGGACCTCAATCCCATCGATTATTTATGGGACATAGTGGGAAAAAGAATATAAACATTACAGCACCCTCCTACTACCCTCCCAGAACTAACACTTAGATTGACGCACGAGTGGCAAGAAATTGATCAAGAAGAATTATTAAATCTTAACTGAGCGACGTTTAAAGCATTATCAAATAAGATGTTATTTTTTGGTTTCTTGCAATTTGGTTCCAACTCATTATTAGTTTGCTGTTTTTGTCGATTTTTATTATTTTTTTTTATTCATCGTGAGTTAAGAAGGCGGAGCTTAACTGCAAAATCCTTATTTCTCTACGAAAAATTAAAAACATTTTTTTGGGTATCGTGTTGTTCAAAGAATACTATGTATATTAAAAAAAAGGCAAAGATCAGGCCCCACCCTTACCCGCCCCGATCCGAATTTTCCATTGGTTGTCGGATCGAGGAGTGGGGTTTAATTGCAAGATCAATATTTGTCAGAAGGATTTACCATTTTAAACATGTTTTAAGTTTTTTGTTCTGAAAATACGACTACGTAGTATATTTAGGGAAAAAAATGTACCCCGCCCACCCGCCCTATCTCAATTGTGATGATTTTTTGTATTCATCGTGAGTTAAGAGGGCGGAGCTTAACTGCAAAATCCTTATTTCTCTATGACAAATTAAAAACATTTTTTTGAGTATCGTGTTGTTCAACGAATACTATGTAAATTAAGAAAAAAATAAAGCCAAAGATTAGGCCCCACCCATATCCGCCCCGATGTCAATTCTCAATTGTAATGAATTTTTCTTTCGTTGTCAGATCGAGGGGCGGGGCTTAATTGCAAGATCTATATTTGTCTAAAAGGTTTTATCATTTTAAACATGTTTTAATTGATGTAATCATTAAAACATTAATATGTTGTTGTTATACGACTGCGTTGTATATTAAGAACAAAAAAAATGTACCCCACCCACCCGCCCTATCTCAATTGTGATGATTTTTTTTTATTCATCGTGAGTTAAGAAGGCGGAGCTTAACTGCATAATCCTTATTTCTCTACGAAAAATTAAAAACATTTTTTTGAGTATCGAGCTATCGAGCCAACGATTAGGCCCCACTCATACCCGTCCCGATCTTAATTTTCAATTGTGATAAATTTTTCATTCGTTGTTAAATCGAGAGGCGGGGCTTAATTGCAAGATCCATATTTGTCTCGAAGAATTTACCATTTTGAACATGTTTTAAATTTCTTGTTCTGAAAAAACGACTACGTATATTAAGAAAAAAAAGACAAAATATAAGCCCCACCCGCCCACCCTATCTCAATTGTAATGATTTTTTTAATCGTCAAGAGCCAAAGTAGCGGAATTTAACTGCCAAATCGTTATTATTTCTCTACAAGAAATTACCATGTAAGACATGAGACTAAGCCCCACCCATACCTGCCCTGACCGAAATAGTAATGAAGTTTTCATTATTTGGCGGATATAGGGGCGGAGCCTAATTGCAAAATCCATATTTCGATACTCAAAAACATGTTTTTAATTTCTTATGAAGAAATAAATATTTTGGAGTTAAGAGGATAGGGTGGGTGGGCGGTCTTACATTTTGCCTTTTTGTTTTAGTATGTGTACACTTCTTTTCACAACATGAAACTTATTATTGCAACCGTGGTTAATATACTATTTTTTTCACTAGTAGAAACCATAAGACAATAAACTGAAAAAATAAACGTTCAATTTTTTGACGCAACATGATTTTGTTTTGATTTCTAATCAAACTTAATCTAAATCTTCAACACAAAGAAAACCGTTTATACTTGTCGCTGAGTTAATCATTTTATCTTCTACCGTCTACCAACTACCATGCGTATACTCAAGTAATGTTTGTAGCACACATTTGTTCATTTTTTAAGAAATAATCACATCAAATATTGCGTACATAACCTCAATTTTTCTTTTTGAACCGGTGGTCGCAAAAGTTGAATTTGCTACCACTAAACGAGTCGACATTTGCATGCGTCACTGCTGCTAGTGAAAAAAATAACAAGATTATCTAAAAAAAATAAAATTTTAAAATTTTGCGTTAATTTTGGGTGGCAGTGTTTGGTTCTTGGAGTTTTAAATATTCGGCAAATTTTGAGGTTATTTGTGTCCACAAGTTGATTTACACATTTTCCTTGAACTAAAAAATCGACGACAGTTAACTGTACATACATATCTGCAAAAGATATCGTTTTCATTGGCTTTATCAATAATTGTGAAAGCTCAATTTATATGTGCCTTTGTATTAGGTATATTAACAATGACAACTAAATCTTGACCCGTAATGTCATCAACCGTCATTTTGTAAGTTCACCACGCCTAAGGGCCTCATCAAGGCCCATTATCATACAAATTTTCATCATATAGATTTCGTCAGAAGCTTCCAACAGAAATTTGTTTATTTCGTCTCTAGTAAATACTCTAGATTTTTTTGGATGATATTTTTGTTCTTTGGAAATGTCAATAGTTTTTTGAATTTTGATGTATCAACACCATTATTAAGTTTATGGCACTTTTAAGCATAGAATACTCTCCGCAAAGGCTTCAAGAAGGCTTTAGTTTTAAGCTTCTCTGAGAAAAAAAAGCCACCAAAGCTTTTTCAGTTATCACCACTTGCTTCTCACACAACAATTTTTGAAGCTTTCTTACGCTTTTTGGTATCTTTTCTTAAATTTTCTTGAAATTAAAGACTGACAACCCGTCTCATATGCTTCGGATATTTCTAGATCTAGATCTAGTACTTGTCAAGATAAGACTGATTTTGGCAGATGACCACTCTTCTAAGAAAATAAAGGGTGGGTGGGCGGGGGGCTAGTACTTGCCAAAATAAGACTGATTTTGGCAGATGACTTATTCTTCCAAGAATATAAAAGCTGGGTGGGTGGGGCTAGTACTTGCTAAAAATAAAAAAATCAAAAATCAAAAAATGAAATATCGAAAAATTGATGACCCACTCTTCCAAGAAAATAAAGGGTGGGTGGGCGGGGCTAGTACTTGTCAAGATAAGACTGATTTTGGCAAATGACATATCCTCTAAGAAAATAAGGCTGGGTGGGTGGGGCTAGTACTTGCTAAAAATAAAAAATTTAAAAATCAAAAAATGACTAATTGAAAAATCGGATAAATGAGAAATCGGAAAATTGTACAACTGCATAATCGGAAAATCAAAAACTCAAATATTGAAAAATTGAAAAACAAAGCACATTTAAAAATAAAATCGAATTCGAAATTCCAGTTTTCCTTTTTTTTTAGTTGATAGATTTTCGACTTTGGAATATTTCATTTCATAATAATTTGTTTGACAATTTTCAGTTTTTATTTCCAATGTTCTAATTTTTCAAGTTTTAATTTTACAATTTTTAAACTTTTTAATTTTTAATTTTTCAACTTCTCAAGTTAAAATTTTTCCTTTTCACGATTTGTCATTTTTAGATTTTTTAAAAAAAAATTTTGAAAAATCGAAAAATCCAAAAATTGAAAATTAGAAACAAAATTTTCAAATGTTTTAAAGTTACGGTAAACAGGGCGAATCGCTAATCAAAATTACTTTTTACTCCCTTCCAAAAACCAGGTAACAAAAAATCAAAAATCGAAAATTAAAAAAAATAAACATCTATTTTCTCGATGTTTTTAAAAATCGAATAATTGGGAAATCGGAAAACTGCCAAAATTGTAAAACTAAGAAACTGAAAGTTTTTTTCAGTTTCCCAGAGAAATAAAAAATGTTTGACAAAATTTCCTTTGCAGTCAGGAGTTTCTGCCACATGAAATTGAACAATAGGCCTTGAACAAAATGGTGCACATTTTCAACATTTACTGTGATTTTTAATAGCAATAAATTTGTTTCTTTTTATTGTAATGAAGTAGTTTTATTTTTTAAAAAGTTATGAAGCATTCAGGCAACCAATTATACAAATGCGTCCTTGGGCATTTAGTACGGTTCAAATCGAAGAGACGGCACGTTTACATGACCTACTGCGACCCTATAATCATTTATAGCAACCCTGTACATATTGTAAGAATATCACGTAAATAACTGGTAAAACGGTACCGCAGTTTGGGGTTATTTCGGACAAGTCTTGTAAATTCGGACATTTGGGATTTTTGTAC